CCGCATTCGAAAAGCTAAAGTCTTATCTTAGCTCACCACCTCTACTAACTAAGGCTATAGATGGAGAGATTCTCTATTTGTATTTGGGAATTTCATATGAAGCCATTAGTTCGGTTCTAGTGAGAGAAGAAGCTAAACAACAAAAACTAATTTATTACATCAGTAGTGTGCTACATGGGGCAAAACTGAGGTATCCTATTGTTGAGAAAGCAACATTAGCAGTTGTCACCTCAGCTAGAAAATTGAGGCCATATTTCCAGTCACACCTGATCATTGTCCTTACAGACCAACCTCTTCGACAAATTCTACAAAAGCTAGAGTGCTCTGAAAGATTAATTAAGTGGGCAGTAGAACTGGGGGAGTTCGAAATAACATTTTAGTAGAGATCTGTAATCCAAGCTTAAGAACTGGGAGATTTTATTATAGAGTGCACTCTAGGTAGTTCAACCCCTAATCCAAAACCCAATGACTAGACCTTATATGTTGATGGAGCATCTAGTAGCAAGGGTTCAAGAGCTGGTGGCCTCTTGATTGGCCCAGATGGATACCGAAGTGAACATGCCCTGAAATTTAACTTCGATGCAACAAACAACATGGCTGAGTATGAAGCTCTGCTACTTGGTCTACAGCTAGCATTGGAGTTGAAAATCAACGTGATCCAAGTATACAGTGACTCCCAGTTGGTGGTGAACCAAATCAACTCAATCTGCGAAGTCGTTGATCCTGTGATGGTGAAATATGTAGCCCTAGTGGTTGAGCTGAAGTGCAAATTCCAGAAATTCTGTCTGAGCAAAATTTCCCGAATTGAGAATGAACAGGCAGATTCACTCTCTAAATTTGTCTTTCATAGCTCTTTAAGTTCCAAATCAGTTTTCGTGGAGGTCTTAGATGAATCAAGCTTCATGAAGCCACGAATGATGGAGATCAACATAGACCTTGACACGCCGAGTTGGACTGACTCAATTATCTCCTTTTTATGAGACGGGATAGTACCTGAAGACAGGCAGGAGGCAATGAAGTTGAGGAAGAAAGCATCTCGGTATACGCTCATTGACGGGGTCCTCTATAAGAGATCTTTCTCACTCCCTCTTCTAGGTGCTTAAACCCTTACGAAGCTAAGTATGCACTTTGGGAGGTACATGAAGGTGTCTGTGGGAGCCATGTTGGTGCTAGAACTCTAGCTCACAAAGTCTTAAGGCAAGGATATTACTGGCTAAACATGTACAAAGATGCCACTCACTTTGTTTAGAGATGCCTGAAATGCCAATTCTTTGCACATCTGACTCACCAACCAGCAGAAGAGCTCACGAATTTGATAGCACCATGGCCATTTGCTCAGTGGGGACTGGATCTTCTGGGCCCATTCGTGAAAGAGGTTGGTGGTGTAACCCATCCGATTGTCGGTGTGGATTATTTCACAAAATGGGTTGAAGCTCAGCCATTATCCAGTCTTACCTCCAAGAAGGTCGAAGACTTTGTTTTCAGCTCGATCATCTACAGATATGGGATCCCGAATCAGATTGTGGCTGATAATGGAACACAATTCAACTGCACCTCTTTCCGAGACTCTTTCCGAGATTTTTGTTCCAGCTACAGGATCAAATTGCAGTTCACCTCGATTTACCATCCAGAGTCAAATGGTATGGTAGAATCTGTCAATAAATGCATTTTAGAAGGAATAAAGCCGAGGTTGGAACAGCACAAGGCCAAGTGGGCAGACGAGCTCAATAACGTCCTATGGGCATACAGAACAACGAGCAGAACTGCCATAGGTACTATTTTCAAACCAAATTCCTTTCATTTTATTTTTATTCTACGTTACTTCCTCACTTGCGACTTTACCTTAGACCAATATGCATAATATGTAAAGCATATTCTAAAGCATATAATTTCATGAAATAGGTGAAACACCCTACCACTTGGCCTTTGGTACTGAAGCAGTCATTCCTATTGAAATAGGAGTTCTAAGCTTCCGGGTCACCCATTTCGATGAAGGACGAAATGGACAACTACTTTGGGAAAACCTTGATCTGCTTGCCGAAGTTAGAGAAGAAGCACGACTTCGAACTCTTGTATACAAGCAGAGATTAGCCAACTTTTACAATAAACGAGTCCACCCTCGAACATTCAAAGTAGGAGACCTTGTTCTCAAAAAGGCTGGCCTAACAGGGTTTGAAACTCGTTTTGGCAAACTGGCCCCAAATTGGGAAGGCCTTTATACGGTGGCCGAAGTGCCACATCCTGGTGCCTATATCCTCCAAGACGCTAAAGGGAAGAGAGTTCCTAGAGTCTGGAATTTCAATAACTTGAAGAAATTTTACCCATAATAAAATTCTTTCAAGTGGTCTATGTCTTACTGTTATTTACACTTTTTACTTCGTGATTGTTGAGATTCATTTTATCTCTTATTCTATGTATCCGAGGTCAATCAGTTCATTCATTCCTTGAATTTCACTCCTATTAATGGATGTCATTTCACATATGAAGTGCTTTATTTCCATTTAACTTATTTGAAGTGATTTACTTCTTCTTACTTTGTCTGAAGCGGTTTACTTCTCTTTAGTTCATTTCCGAAGTGATTAACTATCCTTCAAAACATATCTCAAGTAATCTCAGATCTTTAATTAATATAAAATAACAAAATCGTAAAGCAAACACAACATGTAATTTCAAAAAAAAAATTTCATTCAAAGTAATAAAAGTATTACAAACTGTTTTACTGTTTTTACAATAAAAATATCAAAGAAAAATTAAAAAACAGAAATTATTCCTCCACTGGAAGAGGTGACTAAACTGGCTCCTGCTCAACTGGAAGAGGTGGCTGTGTTGGTTACTGCTCGTTTGGCACAAAAGGCTGCTCATCGTCAGAAGGAACTGGATGAATCTCCACTTCTGGAACTGGTTGGCTCTCATCCACTTCAGTTCCTTCCACTCCTACCTCCACTTTGTCTTCCTCTACTTCTTCCCCTTCTTCCTCCACAGCAACGAACTCGAAGTTGAACTTTGGAAGGAAAACAGCACGTTCGTCTGCATCATGATCCCACCTCAGCTTGATCTGAGGACGGAAGTCTGATAACATGCTATCACCGCTCTCCTCCACTCCTTCTTCTTGCTTGCCGAAGGTGATCTTTGTAATATCCACTTTGGGATATTTAGCCTTCACCTTCTTTCTGTAGTCCGTGAAAGCAATGATGGCAGTTGGCAGTCGGTACAAGTTGATGATGTTGTCAAACGAGCTGGAGCTGATGAAGTTGCTGATATGCTCCTTCATCCCATTGTGCACCAACATCTGCACATTCTCCTTCAACTCCACGAAAGCATCCTTCATCAGCGTTATTTCCTTTGCCTGAGCCTCACGTCGCTTTCAGAGATCCTTCATTTGCTCTCCTCAAAGACGAGCTTGGTGCTTAGGGAAGCCTTCTCTTGCTCCAACTGTTTCACAGTTGGAACCACCTCGTTCAGTGCCTCTTACAATTCCTTATTCTTCTTTTCCAGCTCTTCCTTTTCTTTCTACAGCTGGTCACACTGCCTTTGCAAGAGGGAGCGCTCCTTCACACTCTCCATGAATTCCTAGGCTAGACCATTCACCAAGCTCGCGCTCTGAAATTCCAAGCAGAGGTTAAAACAAAGACAAACAAACAAACAAACACACCAACCACTACATGTGAATTAACTTAACATACCTCCAAAACATGCTTCACTACTGAAGCCCCATAGTACCTTAGAACCTCGTCCCATGTGTGACGCTTGTCCACTTCGGGGAAGGTAGCGTTGATAAACCTCCTAGCCCCCGTCATGTTCTTCACCTTGAATAGGTTGCTCTGAAAGGACAAAGGGGGAACAAGGCCCTTTTCTTTGCCAGGGGCTCGTACTTCAGCCCCCTCCTCAGATTCCCTAAGCTCAAGATCGAGCTCAACAGGGGGAGGCCTAGGTATGAACTAGGGAGCCTCGCTCCCCCTCTCCTCCTTCTCTACCACTTTCTTCTTCTTCTGTGGTGCCCCTCTCTCCTCCCTACTTTTTCTCTTCAACTGCAGCTCTGGCTCCTCCTCCTCCACTCCAGCTGCAGTGCTAGGCACTACCTCCTTTCCAACTCCTCCCTCATCCACTTGTTTGGTTGAAGTCTTTGACTTCTTCCTTGGCTTCTTGGGAATGGCCACCCCTCCAGCAATGTTAAAAAAATTTTTCCATTTCAGCTACAAAACAAGAAAATACAATATTAATTATACAGCTCTATACTTTACATTAAACACTACAATGCAAATTAAACAAACCTTCACTTAAAGCACTTGGCCCATAGAGCTCAGCAGCTTCTATGCATTTTGCGCTGGTAAGGTCCATGATGTTCAATAAATTCCCCCCCTTCCTTACCAACTTCCCCACTTCTTCCTCCTCATCCTCATTTAAGCTAAACTTATTCTGGTTGGTTCTTTTAGCCTTCTAGGATGATAACTCCTCCACCTCAGTATCCCCCCTCTCCCACTCCGTATCATCTACAAAAAAGAATTTTTCCTTCCATCCTTTAATGGATGAAGGACCTGCAGTAAATAAAACCCTACTCTCCATATTTCCTACCCTAGGGGTGAAATAATACCACCCCTTATCCTTCCTACCACCCCTCTTTAAAACAAAAAAATACTTAAACATATTTACGGTTGGCACATTAATCCCCTTAACTCGACAATAAACTAAAAATCCTATTATTACCCTCATAGCGTTGGGGACTAACTGTGTCAACCCTATACTATAATCTAACAACAAACCTACTAACAACTCAAGAATTGGAAACCTAAGCCCGGCTGCCAAATAGTGGGCATACACGGGCATCCAATGATCCCGAGGAGCAGAACATGCCCTCTCCTCTACCCCAGCTGGCCTAATTAACACTCGAGAGGAGATCTCATAACTCTCCAACAAATATCCTAGGCTATCCCTGGTCTCGAGCTCAAACTTATACTGCCTCACCTCTTCCACTATGTCCGCATCTATATCATAACCCCTCTCTTTCCTACCTTCTACTTCTAACACAGTGATGGGTACACTATCCCCCCCAACCCCCACCACTTCATCTCTTCTCACCCCCTCCACCATTTTCTCTAAACTAGATGGAGACGGACTATTCTCTGAGTCCATGCTACCATAATCCAGGGGCATCACCTCACTCCCTACTACACTTACTGTTTCTTCTGAAGATATTTTCTCAATCTCTGCACGAAGTAGGGGGGAGGAATGAAGTCCGGACCCCTTTTTTTTAAAAAAAAAAAAAAAAACCCCTCTAACACACATTCAAAATCATTCTCACTTCCAACCCTAACTTCCTTCAGAGGACTCAAAATCAACCACAGAAAGGGAGAAAGGAGAATACACTTCGACTAAATCAAAATCGGAGATTCGTATACATTACTTGATTTCAGTTTCGAAAACTTGATGTAGAAACCCCCAAATGTTGCAGCAGTTCATGTGTAGGAAGCACACAGTAAAGCTTTTACAAAAATTTTGCAAAAAACACAAAGAAAGTAAACTTCCTTTTACAGAAATATGACTATTTATACCTCCGGGAAAAATTAGATCTCAATGGTTGGGATTCGTTTAATCTTACAGTCCTTAGTCACACCGTTTCGAATTCGACGGTCAACCCCAAACGGCACCGTTTCGAACTTGACGGTTCATTTTTTAAATCTGCCTGTTTGACTGTTGTAGTTATCTTTTTACAGTCGCATTTATTGCGCACGTCATTCAAAGGGCAGCTGTCATGTCACATAATAACCTTACGTCAGACTTTATAAATGGGCCCACTTAAGCCTAACTCAACACTTCTGTTTACTTTCACAATTATATTTTTTAACTTACAAGTGTTTCACATCGGCCTCGGCCACAGTAACTTAGTGTCACATATTTCACTTTTGCTCCGACCACAGAGACATGCTTTACTTCGGCTCTGGTTACTGTGACTACATGTCACATACTTTACCTCGGCTCCGACCTCTATGACTCCGGTCATTATATTTTATTACGGCTTCGGCCTCTATGACTCCAGTCATTATATTTTATTACGGCTCTGGCCTTTATGACTCCGATCATTACTTTTTATTACAATTCCGGTCCCTATGACTCCGGTCATCATATTTCAGCTACGACTCCGACCACTATGACTTCGGTCATCGTTTCTTATTAGCTTCAGGCCATATATGCATCTGGGTTACATAATTTAATTCTTATTTTTACTTCTACCCTTGTAACTCATTTTTAATATTTTTGTCCCCTTTCCTTTCTATTTATACACTACTCCTATTGTCTCCAACAAACATCATTCACAAGTGAATGACTTCGAGGGGGAATAGTGTAAGCTAAGTCCGAAGTTAAGGACCTCGGACGTACTATAACAATTCCTTGATAACCGAAATGAAGTTAAACCCAGCATTTCTGGTCAAACGGCTGTACGATAAATACAGTAGGCATATCCACACCTGATTTATTGCATAACTCTCTGGTCCCGAATTTGTAGCCAGTCCCGAGTTTATCTCCTCAAGGAACATGTCACACTCCGATTATCTTGCTTGGCATGCCATGTGAGTTCCTCACTGAAGCCTATAAATACCCTCCAGGTGCCACGTCAAAAAGGTAATTCAAAACCAACCCTAAGCTCCTTTTATCTCCATTCTAAAGGTAGTCCCGATTATTGTTGACTTAAGTATCGAAGTGTCTACCCTGAGAACCCACCTCGGGGCTTTGCAGGTCAATCTGGAGTGCAGATACAGGCTGAAGAAGGACTCCTGGTTTGGTGCAATTACAAAAAGTGTAAATAAAGATATAAATTTTATAATTTTTTGTATTTAAAAATATTAATTTTGTCAGTTTTTAAATAAAAATGTTAACTTTTAACTTTTTTTTTATCTAAAAATATCAATTTTCAATTTTTTCTATCTAAGAATGCTAACTTTCAACATTTCAGTTAAAAAATCTATTTACCACATTAGTATCATTATTTAATTAATCCTTAAATAGAAAAAGTTAAAATTGATATCTTTAAATAGAAAAAGTTAAAAGTTAAACATCTTTAAATAAAAAAAATTAAAAATTAACATTTTTATGTAAAAATTAATAAAATTAACATTTTTAAATTAAAAAAATATAAAATTAATATTCTTATTTACACATTTTCTTACCAATTCAACACTGTCTACTTCTAAAATCTAATGATAATTCCCAAAGTTGACTGATCACCGTCACTCTCTGTTAACTGTAAGCCTACGTGGCATATTAAAATGAGGTGGACAAACTTTGATTGGAAATGATTTTGAGATAATTTTTTTATATTATTTTTTTGATGTAATTTGATATATCATTTAAATAATTAATTTTTTTTAATTTATATAAAACTTATAATATTGAATGCATCTATTTATTTAATAATATATAAAAATTATGTAAAAAAATTATTTCTATAACGCCCTAACTTTGATTACATGACAAAGTCTTAACGTATGGTATCAACACCTACCAAGACGGTGTCAACACTAGACCATTGCTGATCCACTTCCCACGCCTATCAGGCGTCAAGGCTTTGTGTCAGCGCCGTTTGGTCGGTGTTGATAGCATCTGCTCATGTTGTTGTTATGGATATATATATATAT